ATAAATAAATATTTTTAATATAAATTATATTTTAAATTTATGATAAATAATTTATATTGTAATTTTTTAATAATAATTTATTTTAAAATATTAATATTTAATTAATAAATAATTATAATAAATAAAATTTAAATTAGATTAAAAAATTAAAAAATTAAAAAAAATTAAAAAATTTAAAAAATTTAAAAAATTTATCGTTAAAGACAAACCCTCAAATACACTTGGACACAAGATAATAATAGTCAACGTTTAATATATAAAGATTGATATATATTTGTTAAAATTTATTACTATATATAATTAAACTTGAAAACTTTAAAATGAATAAAAATTTTCTAAGTATTTGTCATAGTAATTATAAGCATAAGATTCAACGATAACAAAATATAAATAAATTAAAATAATATTTGCTCATACTATGTTAATATTATATTAATGTATATTTATATATCTCCTTTTTTATCATTGAAAATATTAATTTTTAATAAAAATATGATAAATTAAAAAAAAATTAGATAAGAAGTTAAGAAAATCTTTAAAAATATTCTCAACTCCTAATTTTTTATTTTATAAAATAGTGATTCACATTTAATATATAGAAAATTTATTTATTGAAATGCATTTTAATTAATAATTTTTATATATGAAAAATCAACAAATATCCACAAGTATTTTTAGTGAGTTTTTTTTACGTGGAATTTTTAGAATTTTTTATATAATTCGACTTTAAGTTGTCTTTGTGAATTAAATTTTATATATTTAAATAAATTATCAATAAATAAAAATCTTATGCTATAATATAAATGATTTATCATAAATTTAAAATATAAATTATATATTTAAAATATTTATTTATAAATTTTTTAATATAATATTTATATTTAAATATATAATATTTATTTGTATATATAATTTATTATAATTTTTAACTATATATAATAAATATTTAATATGTGTATTGTATAAATTAAAATACTAATTATTTAAAATTAAATAAATCAATATTAAGTATTCTTTTGTTATAACTTGTTATAATAAGATTAATTAAATATCAAAAATGTATAAATAACTTAAAAAGTAATTACTCGTATTATATTCAGAAAATTTTAATACTTTTATAATTATTATCAATATAACTAATAAAACATGTAACTTTTATTTATTAAAAATAAACAGGCTTTTAATTTATATTCATTTAAAAATAATAAGGGTATGCTAGGAGAGAAAAAGATAACAGTACTTCAGGATCTACTGGAAGAGAAAGAGATAGCAGTACTAAGGTGTGAATGAGTACACCACAATGATATAAACCTCATATTAATATAAGGGTCATCAATTGTGGTGCATGATAGATCATTTAAGATAGTGATCCATCGTAAAATCCTTTTAAAAAACATTACTTCATTAATATTATTAATTTGATCAATTTATTTTTTCATAAATATAATTATGTCCATTAATTTTGATTAGATTTTTTTACATCAAATTTAATTAGATTTAAATATTACCGTTAACTCAAACTTCAATCAATAGTTGATATTAATTTAAATTTAATTTATATTTATATTTATCTATTTATCTATATGTATAGAGAGAGATAAATAGTCAAATAGATAAATTTCATAATATTTTTTCTAATAAATGATTAAGAAATTAATATATAAAAATATATATCTTGAAAAGTACTTTAATGTTATATGATAGAGTAGGCTATTATATTTTTGGGTAAAAATTTCGATTTGCAACTTTTTTTTATAGAAGCCCTAGCATTTTTCTTATAATGATTAATTTTATTTAAT